TGCAAATCGTGTAAGTAGTACTTTGTCTTGAAATCTTCTAACACCACAATTATCTGCAAACACTCGCACTTTTAAAAAACAACAGTCAGGATACCAATTTAAAGACAAAACTGTCAAAAAATTGACTTATGTCCAGTGCACTTTGATCCTCACTACAGACTATAAGAATTAAGAGACAAACAAATCCTTGGCTGGCTCCTTCTACCTAATTTGTTGGTTGAGTTAGATAGATAACATATTATCTTGTCGGTCACTTATGACATAAGATTTGTCAACCTTATACTTACCACATAAATGAATACGTTTGCCCGACATAATGTAGTGTATATTAATATTCCAGTGTCAAGAAGTGAAGAAAGGCTGTCTCTAACTGCTAAATAATATGGAAACCTTCTTAGACCTTTCGTTATATCCATAGCTCTAATTTATTACATATTCGGATAGACATAAATACTCCTGAATCCTGTTAAGTTTATTTCTTGAGATATTTAATGCTTTGTCTAAAGACAAGTATCTAAACTCGTGCCTCGACCACTTAGTAGACTGACTGAAAAGGTTCCAGTCTTAAACGGGTACCCCTCATATCGTCACATAAACATATTTGATTAGGTACCTAGAATAATTTAAAAATTGTGGAAAGGTGTACCATTTGAACATTTTAACGAGCAATAAATTTCGTTTTTGGGAATTTTGTACAACTTATTGACTCGAATAATTCCAGAAATGGTTAAACTAGATAGCAGCTGGAGAATACATTTTTTGTGTAAAAATTAGTACTTTGTTCCAATAGGCAAAAGTCGAGGTATTGGATGTAATTGTTTGATGGTTTCTTCAGGCAGAAGACATAATTCTTACCTCAGCTTCTCAGCCTAAATATTAAACTTATCTGTAGGTCTTCTTTGTCAGGCGCTGCCGAGATGTCCTCAACTCTGGCCAAAAAGTGGCCAATAGTGGGCACGTCACTGGGTAGGAGCTGCTTGCCTCGTTGCCAAAAATTATGGTAGTAAAAAAAACCTAGAGAGAGAAAGACTGTTTAAAAATCCACTCTAATCTCTGTCTAAGATAAAACTACTCATTGAAAACAATCGCACTTGAAGTAAAACCATGTACATTTTTTTGTACAAGAAAAGTAAAGCAAAGGCAAAAAAAAAGATAAAAATGTACTAAACTAATATACCCTTGTTCTAAAAAGTTACGGCAGCTCAAATATCAAAATCTTGATCAATGTAACAGAAGGTGCCCTGTAGACACTGCCCACCAGATTTTAATACGCGCAGAATGTCCAATAAAATCAAGAAGTCTCTAAGAATTTCAATAAGCAATAACAAATGTATAAAGATCTATGTAATTCATAATTGCAATGATATTTTACCTGTTCATATCAGGGTTTGGCTTCCACCAATTTGCAAAACTGCAACAAGATGCAATCAACTGGAGGAGAAAGGATTCTATTGACTAAAAGAAAGCAGATATTTAACGAACGTCATCAGGACACGCATTAAGGCACGTGGTCCGACGGTATATAGAAAAGGACTCACCGCTGAGGGTCAAAATCTTATGAAAAAATGGAAGATGCAGCACCCAAACCAAAATGACTAAACTTAAGTTACACAAAAAAAAGGGTGCTAGTCCATGAATTGGCGCTTGGGGCCTAATATCCCAGAGTCCGGAAAATGACGAAAAGACCCCTGCACCACGACCTCAACGGAAACAGAAAAGCGAATCACGCAAAACAGGTAACGTTCTAGAAGAAGGTGTCTTGAGTGGCCTTGAAGAAGATATGTTTTATAGGAAACCAACTAACGGAGAAAAACTACAGAGTTTTTTGCTGATCGTCAACACCATACTGAATCGCTGAGAAAGAAAGATGTAATGCGAGTGAAATTATACAATCAATAAACTATTAAATTTGCCAAAAAAAAATTCATTGAAAAGGGTTTGGCCTAGGAATGGGCACTCTATTATCAACGAAGATAAATTCAAATTACGGATAAGTGATAAATAGTAAAATAAAGGTTAGGTGATTTTGGCACGTGACAAATGGATCCTTACAGGGACAGTGTAGGAAACTCCTAAGCAGTTTTTGTAATAGTTGTCCGCCCGGTACATGTAACGGAATTGTGAATTAGCCGGTAATGTTCAGACTAAATACTTAAATAAATATCAAATAGCTGTTACATACCGATACCTCCACGTAACAGATGGTCTGCATCACTAGTGCGCTAAAACTCACCACACTATGCGCTACCAGAGTACATTCGTTCACCAGCGATTTAATCGCTCAGCTACAGCTTGTCAGAATGAATCCGCTCTACCATGAGCTTTCAGCAGATACAGCATAAGCCACCCATCGGACTAAAATGACCGTCTGTTACGTGCAGGTATCAATATCGTGTATCGTACGCACAATAAGCTGTAGGAGGGTACGAGCCATTCTGCATTTCGGGAACTACACTTGTGGAAATGTTTTTCTACATTTTTAGAAAGTTCCTCAGACACCATTCCCATAAGGTTTCCGGAAGGATTTTTGAAAAAGTGTTTGTTTAGTAAGGTGCCATCAGCGATAAACGCAGACTATACGATGTAAATAGGCGAGTCCTTGCGTTTTCTCTCAGCTAAGCTATTCGAACAGTGTGTTGAAGGACTTCCAGGCATCGGAAGTACTAGACTTTCCAATAAAGCTCGAGGCCGTCTTTTCCTTCTCTTGCCGTGAATTATGCCTTTCTAGTGCACTGGTCTGCAGCTAATACGTGTAGATATCGGAGTTCGCGCTCGAACAGCTCCGCGAAATGAAAGGTGGCACATGGAGAAAATGTTGAAAGCTTTTGCAGGAGAGCCGTAGCTGATTTTTGCTCTATTTTCTTAATAAGAGGATTATTTCCATTAACAGTTTCTATATCCGTCCGGTATGACCCTTCCGCACCGTTTGGGGTAGTTACTGGACTGAATATACTTCTGCGGTCTGTGAAGCTCAGACAGATCGTAGAGGCAATGGCGAATGTTACACTATCTGCATTCATTATGGTCCGTACCATAAGTGTTTACTAATTCCGTCAGCGTCAGCGGATATTTATGTAACCGTATACATCACTTAATACTGTCGTCCAATAAATATCTGCCACGTTTTATGGCAAATACTGAGGGGTCACAGTAAATATTGAACATGTGACAATTGCCATCGAGTTCTTTTCCCCTTTTTTTTGGATCAAAAACTAAGAATGAACAACACATGGCAAACCAAAAATTATAACGCTAGTCATCCAGTGGATATATTTTGGTCTAGAATATGTTCGTCAGCAATCTAATGAAAATGTATTTATTCATTCTACATTATATCATACAACTCGCGTATTTTCGAACAAGATCGTCCGAACAGCAAAAGGAGAATTGTTAATAATCTAACAAATATTTGACTTTTGATGTTATTTTGTCAATGCTGAACTCTTCATCCTTTTTGAGATTAATGTTGAGGAACTAATAACAATTGACGAAACATCACAAAATATATCTATAATTTATGCGATGAAAGTAATATTGTACTAATCGTTGCTGTGAGCGTAAAAGATGTCATAATGAACTGAAACAGTCGCATATTTTTACTGGTGTACGAATCACATCGAGCGGGATTTGACAAAATGAAACACGTTTTCGTTAGATTTTTTGGACGATGACTATTGACCCTAATAAATATATACAAAATGGTATCAGAAACGATACCGGGTGTTTCTAACACTTGGTGCACGATGCAATGAAAACAGCAAATTTCACTAACAAAAGTGCGAAGTAAGGTTTATACATTTCAAAAAGCCCGTCAAAATAACTACCTTCAGCTAAATATTGAGGATACTTATAAATTCATTTTTTGTTAGTTCCTGTTAAGATGTATGTGGGACAGATTTCTGACGGAAACGAAATTGCTTGACGATAGACCTGAACAAAGAAAAACAAAATGGAATTAAACAGGGGTCTTCACGACTTTGGGCAAGGTACAATGGTTGTCTCCTTAGACCACTAAAAGAACGTTATGTTCATCTCTTTTGACGATTGTATAAGTACTGCATATTTTGTTAGTTATTGGGTGAGCAAGAATTTTGAAAACAGCGAATTTCACGAACAAAAGTCGGAAGTAAGGTTTATGTATTTTAGAAAGCCGTTGAAAATGGTTACGTTCAGCTGTAATTTAAGGCTGCTAATTGATTCTTTAGGAAGCACAGGGTTATTTTCTGTTGTATCAAAAAGTTAGATATAGATAGTTAATAGAATCCTATTCGGATTGCGATTTATTTTAAAAATGTAGGTTTTGCTGAGACTGTTTTCTGAAAGAACTAACCACAGTGCTTATAAGGGTCACCACACTTACCTTATTTGCTGAGAATATCATTTTTATACTGGGTTTGTCCTAAGCATAAGACAAGAATTCAGGGGTACCGCTGCTTGATATCGTGGCTCAAACGCCCAAAGATCAAAGAGAATTTAAAAAAAATCCCAAGTAGCCCTACTAATGTCTTCAATTTTTCTTAACGGCAACAGAGGGCATAACGCATATTTCGTTTTGGCCTGGGATATCTTCAGGGCGGCAAGCCCTCAGTTTTCTATGTGTCCAGGGGAACCTATATGGCTTTCTGAAATTATTCTGACCTTTAACGATTTTTGGGGGAGACGGCCAACATGCTTTGCGAAAATATAACCCCTTTTTAGCAAATGTCACTTGTGAAGCCTTCAATCCATGAAAATAGTTCAATATGCTAGAGTAGAAGGCAACCCGGCGCTATCCTAATGTACAAAGATCTAGTTGCCTCCTGTTCAACGACAAACGTAACAAAAATCAGATTTTGGCGATTTGGTCTATTGTCATTTTCAATGCGCAAAAGTTAGTTAGCTCTGTTTTTATTTTCTTAGGATTAGAAGTAATGTTCCAAGCGTTTTTTAGAAAACATAATTTTCCTATACTATTACACCGCAGCGGTATTTCGATCTATACCAAATAATGATATATCAGAATGGCGATATGTTTCGACCCTAGAAAGCTTGAGAACATGTTTGTGTGAAAAATCTACTAAGTCGTTACTTTTGTCTTCCAGTATACACAACGTCGATCAGCCGCTGCTGCCGCTGCGTTCAGCGTCATCTGCCGTCCACCGTCCCAACTGCCGCGTGACGCCCTTGGTCGCGCCGACGCCTCGCGTCCCGACGCTTGTCTCTGACGAAAGCCCCGCCCGTTTCCGGCCCGATGGATGCCAGTATCTTGGCAGCCATGGACAAGGATGCGCTCAAGAAGCAGATCGAGAATATGAAATACCAGGCGGCCATGGAACGTTGGCCGCTCTCCAAGTCTATCGCAGCGTGAGTACCTTTATTCATCTGTTTTGATTGTTGATTCACAGTGTTTTGTTTCCATTGCCTACTCGTGATTTTATATAAACGCGGCGTGTTTATAACGTTCGGCGATGAGGAAATATGGAGGGTTAGGGTTAGGGTGAGCGTTGCAACGAAGGGTGCACTGTGTGTTGTTCTTGCGATATAAATAGTCCATGCGAAACGGAATTGTAACGGACATAGAGATAGCATGGGGAACGGTTCACGGGAATCACTAGTATCAGATTATCCTATAACCTAGAATATCTCACAAAGTGGTAACTGAGCAGTGGAGGCAGGATGTTTATTAGAGTAGGTTTATTTTGTGGCCGTACCTTTGGTTAAAGTAACGTCTGAAACTTATACTGTGTAGCACCTCCCATTGAATTTATAATATTGACTGATACATTGAACATATGATGAATTTTGTAGAGAATCGAATAGGATAGACAAATTATATTTGCTTAACCATGGATAGGGTCCACTCACGGTATTCTAATGGCAAATAGCAGAAACACGGAGATGAACGAAATTCTTTTTCATTGTATCCACATCATAAAACGTACACAAGGTTCAATATTATGATTTTTTTGTGATTCTTTCATACAGGGTGAGCTTTTAGTGTGAAATCGTTATTACAAATATATAAAAAACTTGTTTCTTCTTTACAAAAATCGTAGGTAAATATTCGCTCTCTACCTCTATACAGGGTGATTCATAACTCGTTGGCATCACATACATTTCTTTGAATGAAATATCGTAAAATACAATTCACCTACATAATATAATTATGAAAAAGTAACTTCCTGCTGCTTTTAATGATCGTGCCATTCACATAAATCACACAAGTTATGATTTCAAGTAAATAGTAAACGAAGGTTGGTAGGATTGATGAAATATCGCAAATAATGTATTTGTAATGTTCTCGAGTCAATTAATACCCATTTGCCTGGTACAAAGGTTAGAACAATCAATCAATTTTAAGCCCCAGCTGGTAAATATGGTCAAACATGACGAATGTACCCAGACTGTTAACATAATTTGTGGTTTCGTAGTATCTCTACGCCATCATTACAACAAGATTACAACACCGATTTTGAATCTCGGAAACATACAATAGTGCGCTTTTCGTTTATTTGAGTCCTAGCGACGTCACTGTCACTAGGTTGAAACTCAAAAATCACTCAAGTTTTTTGTACTTGTCGCGATAGTGATTGATGAATGTCATTATTCTAGGTGTCCCATTTTTATCTTCCTACCTAAACATTTTAGAAACTCAGCATGCTAGAAAAAAGTTACATATAAAAGCTGTACGATTCGGAGGTTGGATGGGTTACTTGACTTCAACGTCTTCCGAAGGTCAAACGAATATTTTCAAATGAAACAACTTTTTAAACCAGATTTGGCGATGTCTATGCCATGAGCTTCAAGGCCATTTCAAGCTCGGGGGAGGACATTCAAAACAATTTGCTCGAGCAAAAATGTTAGACAGAACAATTGTGAGTTTTGTGGATGTCATCCAAAGATGACCTTAATCATGATTTTCAAGGTCACTTCAAAACTTTCAAAGGCAACCTCTCATTTCGTCCCGGAATTGGAAAAACCAGGAAATGTGACGTATAAATGTGGCCTTGACCTCAAAGGCGAAGTCATTGCAATATCAAATGATATTTGTAAAGCAACCCCTTGAGTTTTATGTGAAGTTTGCAGAGCACAAGAAATTTTATATTTACGTGAACACTTTAATTTGACCTTAACCTTCACAAAGCTCACAAATGTGCTGTCGAACATTTTTGGTAGAGCAAATTGGTTTCAATGTCGTGATTTCACCTTTTAATGACATTGAAGGTGATAGTAATGATCATACCCAAGGTTATACTTGTAGTCAAGCACATAATTCGTTCTAGAATGTGTAGACTTGGAACTATATAACTGGGAGTTTAACATGGAACACCCAGTATATCCCGGTTTGAAGATAGGATAATTTCAGGCTCAAGGTAAATCGAAAACAGGTACCTGCTTCCTTCAACTCTTCCAAACATTAAAAAAAATCCTAAAGGAGATATATCAGAAATTGATTACAGAAATTGAAAATATTAAAGATACGATGATAATAGAAGCTTCATTGAAAAATAACGTACACATAAAAACATATGCAATAATCAACTAAGAGATGCATAGAACTAAACATATAAAAAATATATAAAGCAATAAAACCAAATAAAACCAACATAAAAAAAATGTTTTGCATTTTCAATGTAAAATATTGTGACTATTACATCTAACAAGTACGTAGTATTGTGGGGATCAGAAAGCTCTGGACAGTAGCAGTCCTTCAGTTATATCCAAGATGCAACATTTACAGCCCCTCCAAACGAATGTCTAAAAAATGAACTCGGGAACGTCAGTGCTTCTTCTTTCATTTTTGGCTGGTGAACTCTGCCGCTACTGCACGAATTTGCAAGAATTTCAAAGCTTTCCCTGTCACTGTCATTGTAGCCACCTTGTGTCGAAATCTTGTTAGATTCCAAGCGGTACTTTTTAAATTATAAAGGAGTTTAGGATTAGCAGACAAATAAATCGACAGAAAGATACACTGACAGAAATGGGTCACTCTCGCCAATTGTCCGAGGAAGCAAAAACTATGTAAATTTAGAATATAAATCAATAAAAAGCGACCACAGAGCATGGGCATGTAGGGTAACACAAAGAACTGTAATTTAACGTAACTCACCTATATACTAAATTTTACCCCTGAGAAGATATAGACCATCAAGTGGCGTTTCCAGTTAGGAAAGAAATTAACATCTCAGTTATTCTTTAACTTAGAAAAAGCTAATTTGGTTCAATCGATGGTAATTAAAGTTCAAATGAAGCCTTTTGAAGGGTTGAGAAGGCATGATGCACCCTCACAATGTGTCTGATTTTATACCATGTTGGCAGACTTGAAAATTGTTTCTTTATTTTAGGTAGACCTCGGTTCTAAATAGTTTTCTACTTTTGCTATTTTTCAAAAAGCTTTGCCGTTTTAAACGAAAACCCGAATAACTACAGTCATGTGTTGTAACTGTGTAACTGTGTTATTCAAAATTATCCCAAATTCAAACGTGGCTATTAAATGAAACGCTGAACTTGAGAATTAGGTAAATATTTCTCTATGAGAACTTTCTCCGATATCCGTCAGCACTTCCCATGTAAATTCCATCACATAAACATAAGCCGAATAGCATGTCAACGTGTTCGCTAACATTTTTACAACAATTAACTAAAATCATATAATTCAATTCCTTGATTTTTAAGTCCGACTAGTTTCACACCCAATGTTTGAATTATTGATAATTTTAAATAGCAGCAATACATACTGTTGGTTGTTCGTCTTTTTTTTGTTGCTAACGACAAAGTTTATTGCAAAGTAGGAAGAGTAAAAAAAATTTTAGATATGAATCCCACATTAAAGATAGTTATAATTGGACAGCTTTTTGCAGAAAGGAACCAACCCACTTAATACGAAAAATCTAGATTTTATGCAAATAAGCTAATACGAGCAATACCATTTGCTGTACAAAACATCCATACACATATTTAAAGCCCTTAGTATACCTAATTAAAATCGTGTCTTGTCTGAAATGAATTTGTTATCATTGTCAAAACTTTAAAGCCTAATTGCTCATTAACTATTTTACTGGGTTGGTTCCTTTCTGCAAAAAGCCGACCATTTTATCTTGAAAAATAACAAAAGTAAAAAAGGTTTTACAAGAGTAATTCCAATTAGGTATGTCCAGGGCGTTAAAAAATTCAGCAACATTTTAAGGGTCCATCATCCCTCATTAAGCATTTTAGATGCTCTAACTGAGCTGTAATAACTGTATATCAATGTCCTTTGATTGATTTAAAACGTGTACCAAATTTGGTTTTTCTAAGCTCAACAATTACTGAGATGATTTTTTTTTTAGAAATTTCAATCCACACTTTTACGGTCTAAGTGCAATGTAGTATAAGGTAAGCTGCGTTAAATTACATTTAGGGCCCCTTGCATGTATCTGCTCTGTCTTTGGTTCTTATGCGAAACACACTGTATAATAGTATATAATTTGAAGCACGTCAGCGAACCACAATCTCCCTCAAGTGGAGTATCATTTGCGTGGCCTTGGGTTGGAATATTTTTTATTTTTTATTTTATTTTTAGTGTACATAAATGATCTATCCAAATCTATCAACTTAAACCCGCTATGCATGTACGCTGACGATACATCGGGTATAGTGGCTGACAAAAACATAGAGCAGTTGTCTCAAAAATCAACTAAGCTTGTAAATAGTGTAGCTCAATGATGCAATGACAACTTACTACATTTGAACATCGATAACTCGAATATTGTATACTTCAATAACGACTCCACCTAATCACTTTACGTGAAATTAAATGGAAAAAACCATGGTTCAAACGAACGCTGCACAGTTTCTAGGTGTGAAAATAGACCATTCATTGAAGTGGACAGAACAAATAATAGCAGTGCAATCGAAAATGAACTCTGCCTGCTATTCAATACAAAGTATTAGAGATCAAGTTAGTACTGAAGTACTTTGCTTTTGTAAAATATATAATCTATAATGGTTTTACTCTAAAAAATCTGCCGAAGCTTTTATATGCCAGAAACAAATTGTAAGAACAGCATTAAAATTACCCAAGATGACATCTTGCAGAGAGTACTTCAAACAGTTGTAGTTATTGACAGTTCCATGTATATACATGTATATACAATGTGTTTGGTCACGACATACCGATATTTAAGAGGGATATTTTTCACCTATTTTTATCGACAAATCCACCCCCTACAATGTCTTACCTCACCCCTCTTGAAATTGCAGCCATTTTTATTTTTACGTTACGATTACGCTAGTGCATGTAAGAAACTTGTAATAACTGACTCATAAGAGTCACAGAATGATAAATTTGGTGTCATTTGAACGATGTGTTGCCCTGGCGATTATTGAAAAACATGTGTTGACACTAATCGTCAAACATACTTAAAAAAAGACAAAAACGAAAAAAAATATGCAAGAAAATTGATCATTTTGTGTATTTCCGCACACCATTCAAAAACTAGTATGTGAAGTTGTACTTTTTTGTGCTATTTCTACAGCTAACTATATTATCTACAGAATGACACCAAGTTTGTTATCCTAGGTCTTCTACGTTAAGTAATAGATGCTATCTAACATTGGTCAAAATGGGTGTAATAGAATGCAAATTGCTTTCAAACTTATTATACATAAAAATGACAAATCAATGTTTCTCATGAAGAGTTTAGACATGTATTGGTTATGCACATTGTTGCTCTTAAAACCATGTGTCATGTTAAGCGGCGGACTATATGCGAGTCAGCTCTAATTCCATTTTCAGCGGTATGGATCCTTTCCACGAGCTCTTTCCATGTCGCCGACACATGACAGTAAACTTTTTGCTTCATTGTTCCCAGAAAAAATAATCTAGGGGCATTAAATCGGGTGATCGGGTGGCCAAGCGACAGTGCTTCCACGACATGTCCATGGGGAATGTTGCCCATCCAAATGTACAAATCGCGCAAAGTTTGCGGGAGAGAACTCCGTCAAGCTGCAACCTCATGTTGCGGCGGTTGATAAGTGACAGATCAAGGAGTAGACCTGCAAACTCGGTCCTCAAGAACTCCAAAAATCCCTGGGCATCTAACCTTGGAGATAGCTCAACTGGGCCGACTGGGACTCCGTTTCCTGTTAGAAAGTGGTCGGTCGAACTGTATGAGGGTTTTCCGAAGACCTCAAGTGGTCGTTTCTATGGTTTATGATCATCTGCCTCGTAAATTTTGCTTCGTCCGTCCGCAGAATTTTTTCACAAAAGTTGCAGTCTTGACGCAGCTGCCGTTGAAACCAGGCGCAAACTATGATTCTTGCTGCATAATCTGACTCATGAAGATCCTGAACTCTTCTAAAATGATAGAGATGTAAATACCGCCCTTAAATATCGATAATTAGAGGAAAAACACTTATTATTAGAATAACATGATCGCTAGAAACTGTAAAAATCTAAGTGTGCCCCATCATAAGACCAGATTATATGAGCATAGCCCATACTATAATTATTACTATTATTATTACTATTATTTCTTGACACGTATTCCCAACTTAAAGGCCGGGAGTCGTTCCCTCCCTGTGATCATCCCCTGCTAATTGGCCTTTAAGCATGAATGTAGTAAATTTTGAATCAGACGAAATTCGTATTCAGGCCAGCTTCAGATGGGTTACGTGTAGTAATGATATCATTCAGCGGATATACCAAACAAACCCCAGTCTGCGGAATTTCCAGATTCGACAAGGGATTTGAAATGCGGGCGCACCGCAATCGGTATTTCCGCCTCCGGAATTTTGAGGAATCTACCAAAACGCATTCTACTTGATGCAAATATTGATTCAGGCGTCGCATTGTATGCTTAAAAGTTTATATGCATGCCAAAGTTATCCGGAGTTCCGGAGTTTATGCATCCATTGGAAAACCAGAGCCTCTTGACTACTTCGAGTGTTATACTGAATGTGGTATTCCCGTTACAATCCCTGAAAAGTGGATTAAAATTACGAATGGTGTATACTAGCCACCATACCCGGTTAATTATTGTTCGGAAGGTTAGTCGTCTAACTTTGGAACTCGAATAATGTGACAAGTATATTTAGATGTCAAAAGAGTAAATGCAAAATACTATGTCCGGAAACATACCTATCTATAGAGTTATACTTTACAGTAACTTCCTGAAATAAGTGAAATATCCAAATTGGATAAGGATCAATAATCAGGATCTTGCCCAGTCCATTTTTCCGCTTTTTTTATACCGAAGGCAGAAGCCTAAATACCAAGGCACCGCGGTTACTAGTTGGAGCTTAAAGAAAGTTTATTAACCCGATTTTTGAGCTTTCTGAGATTAGTAGAACTAGGAAAGGCTTCCTTATGTAGATTATTCCACAATCTCGATAGCCTAGGGACATAGTAGCGGTCATATCGGCCAGTTCTGGATGCACGCAGTCCGACACGGTTAGGATGGGAGGCCGAAGTCAGGCGGGTCTGTCTGGCAGCCACATCGCGCCGTGGCATCATCCAGGATACTCTGAGGACCAATGCGCGTTGACATACTGGTAGAAGAGAGCTAGATCAGCCAGTCGATGCAGAAGAGTCCAGAGACTGTCCATTAAAGAAAAGTCATCGATCAGTCGGACAGCACTCCTCTGCACAGCATCGAGCATTGATTTTGTACATAGTGAGAATGTTTTGTGGAGAAAAGAACTTAGCCCTACACAAGTATCCTAGCTTTTTCCCCAACAGATTGACGAGATGTGTTCGTGCGAGATCAAGCCTTCGGTGATCTAGGCTCCTACCAGCCGAAATGAGAGGATCTTTGGTAGAACTCGGCCATCCAGCGAAACCAGATGAGCGCTAAGCCGTTTTTTGTTCGTCAAGGTACAGTACTGTGTCATGTAGTTTTGGAAGTGTTAAACTGTACCAGATTCCTGCGTCCCCAAGCAGTAATAACCTACAGGTCTCTCGCCAGAGAGGCAGACGCTGAATGTCCTCTTGTTTCTAGCTCACCGGCAGAGATTGCTCTGAATTCCTGCATGTGAAGTGCTGTCGTCAGCAACGTTGTGGATTAGGTTGATCGTACAGAAAATAAGGTTATTGATATGTAGGAACAGCATCAGAGTGAAGACTGATCCCTAGGGAATACCTGCGACACTCTTTTTAAGAAAAAAACCGTATGAGAATGAGTAAAAAATGCCTTGTCTCCAAAGTGCAGTGAGTCCTTAATAGTCCATGCAGTTATTTTTTATGAAACATCTCGAAATCTACTAGGCTGATTTTAACAAAAGTACGTTGAATTTTTGCCTTCTTTTTACAACAAACTAGTACTAATGGAGGTCTGGACTTACTTGCCACCTTATTTGACTGTCAAAAGCTTCAGACTCCGTTAGCAAATATGATGGGCATACATAGAATCCCAAACTAATACATTCACAAATCAGAGTTCGAACTCATCGAAGCCCATGTAAGTTTCAGTCCATTATGCCTACCTTCGTCCGCCCTCTGTCATTAAAGACCTTGGCATATCTCAGCTTCACAGCATCCTGGCAATAGTGTAAGAACTTAATGACAGTGCCATAAAAACTGTTGACCTAATACTGTGAAGGAAGTAAACAGAACGTAATAAGAGCCAGGCAATCATAATAATCGATGGAAGTTGTTTTGGGTTAATGCTGTCTTTTTTCCCTTTAGAGAAAATTTATTATGTATATTTGGGCCACGTTAATGGCAAATAGAAGCTGTCGAAAATGCTAGGAGAAATTGACAGAATTCAGTTGAAGTTGTTCATCATATACCCACCTATTGTTTGTGGATTTAGATAAAGCATACGATACGGTGCCTTTGAGAAAGTTGCTTCAAACATTGATGAAAGTAGGCCTTAGAAGAGAGTACGTGGAAGCTGTCGCAAACACATACAAGAATGCTAGTAGTGTTGTAAAATAACCAAATTTTATGTCGGAGGCGTTTCCAATAACAAAAGGACTTAAACATGGTGTTGTCTGTCTCCTACCTTGTTTAAAGTATATATTCAATCAGCGCTAGAACAGTGGAGAACGCAGGTATCTGGAATGGGAATGGACATAGGCGATAATAAATGTCTAACAACTTTGTTTTTTCGCGGGCGATCATGTTAGCCATAGCAAATGGTGAGGAGGACGTGGTCTATATGTTTAGAAAAGTAAAGATAGAATATGAAAAATGTATGAATATGTCGAAGTCGGTGTATCTTGGAATAGGGAATTATGAGGAAGTACCAGAGACAAAAATTAGAACCTTAAAAACATGTAAGGAACTCTACTATGGTCTAAACATATTCGACAAAAAACAAAAATGAGAATATACCGAGCCTATCATACCTTATGGGGCAGAAGTTTGGCAGATCACAAAAAAGATACAAAAGAATAAAAGTAGTACAAATGGATTATCCAAGGAGAGCGTGTGGTATACTCAAAAAAAATAACATACCAGAAATGAAGATATTAGGAGGAGAAATACTGTGTATATGTACTGTAGACAGAATCGAAACCAGTCAACTTAGTGTGGTACGGTCACGTGAAACGAATGAGTAAAGATCGATGGCCAAATAATTCATTAAA